CAGTTCTGTGAAGAAGATCATTGGTAGCTTGATGGGGATAGCATTGAGTCTGTAAATTACTTTGGGCAGTATGGCCATTTTCACAATATTGATTCTTCCTAACCATGAGCATGGAATATTTCTCCATCTGTTTGTGTCCCCTCTTATTTTGTTGAGCACTGGTTTGTAGTTCTCCTTGAAAAGATTCTTTATGTTCCTTGTTAATTGTATTCCTAGGTATTTTATTCTCTTTGTAGCAATTGTGAATGGCAGTTCATTCTTGATTTGGCTCTCTTTAAGTCTGTTATTAGTGTATAGGAATGCTTGTGATTTTTGCACATTGATTTTGTATCCTGAGACTTTGCTGAAGTTGCTTATCAGTGTCAGGAGATTTTGGGCTGAGACGATGGGGGTCTTCTAGATATACAATCATGTCATCTGCATATAGAGACAATTTGACTTCCTCCTTTCCTATTTGAATACCCTTTATTTCTTTTTCTTGCCTGATTGCTCTGGCTAGAGCTTCCAATACTATGCTGAATAGGAGTGGTGAAAGAGGGCATCCTTGTCTAGTGCCATATTTCAAAGGGAATGCTTCCCGTTTTTGCCCATTCAGTATGATATTGGCTGTTGGTTTGTCGTAAATAGCTTTTATTATACCTGGTTTATTGAGGGTTTTTAGCATAAAGTGCTGTTGAATTTTGTCAAAGGCCTTCTCTGCATCAATTGAGATAATCATGTGGTTTTTGTCTTTTGTTCCGTTTATGTGGTGAATTATGTTTATAGACTTGCATATGTTGATCCAGCCTTGCATCCCCAGGATGAATCCTACTTGATCATGGTAGATAAGCTTTTTGCTATGCTGTTGCAATTGGTTTGCCAGTATTTTACTGAAGATATTTGCATCTATGTTAATTATGGATGTTGGCCTGAAGTTTTCTTTTCTTACTGAATCTCTGCTGGCTTTTGGTATCAGGATGATGTTTGTCTCATAAAATGATTTGGGAAGGATTCCCTCTTTTTGGATTGTTTGGAATAGTTTCAAAAGGAATGTTACCAGCTCCTCTTTGTATGTCTGGTAGAATTTGGCTGTGAACCCATCTAGACTTGGGCTTTTTTTGGGTGGTAGTCTTTTAATTGCTGTCTCAACTTCAGCCCTTGTTATTGGTCTATTCAGGATTTCGACTTCTTCCTGGTTTAGGCTTGGGAGGATGCAGTGTCCAGAAATTTATCCATTTCTTCCAGGTTTACTAGTTTATGTGCATAGACATGTTTGTAATAATTTCTGATGATGGTTTGTATTTCTGTGGAATCTGTGGTGATACCCCTTTATCGTTTTTTATTTCATCTCTTTGATTGTTCTTTCTTTTTCTTTTTTATTAATCTGGCTAGTCGTCTGTCATTTTGTTGATCTTTTCGAAAAACCATCTCCTGGATTTATTGATTTTTTGAAGGATTTTTGTGTCTCTATCTCCTTCAGTTCTGCTCTGATCTTAGTTATTTCTTGTCTTCTGCTAGGTTTTGAGTTTTTTTGATCTTGCTCCTCTAGCTCTTTCAATTTTGATGATAGGGTGTCAATTTTAGACCTTTCCTTGCTTCTCATATGGGCATTTATTGCTATATATTGTCCTCTAGACACTGCTTTAAATGTGTCCCAGAGATTCCGGTACATTGTGCCTTCGTTCTCGTTGGTTTTGAAGAACATCTTTATTTCTGCCTTCATTTCATTGTTTATCCAGTCAACATTCAAGAGCCAGTTGTTCAGTTTCCATGAAGCTGTGTGGTTCTGAGTTAGTTTCTGAATTGTGAGTTCTAACTTGATTGCCCTGTGGTCTGAGAGATTGTTTGTTATGATTTCCATTATTTTGCATTTGCTGAGGAGTGATTTATTTTCAATTATGTGGTCAATTTTAGAGTAGGTGTGATGTGGTGCTAAGAAGAATGTATATTCTGTGGATTTGGGGTGGAGAGTTCTGTAAATGTCTATTAGGTTTGCTTGGTCCAGGCTTGAGGTCAAGTCCTGGATATCCTTGTTAATTTTCTGTCTCGTTGATCTAATATTGACAATGGGGTGTTAAAGTCTCCCACTATTATTGTGTGGGAGTCTAAGTCTCATTGTAAGTCATTAAGAACTTGCTTTATGTATCTGGGTGTTCCTGTATTGGGTGTGTATATATTTAGGATCGTTAGCTCTTCTTGTTGCATTGATCCTTTTACCATGATGTAATGTCCTTCTTTGTCTCTTGATCTTTGTTGGTTTAAAGTCTATTTTATCTGAGATGAGAATTGCAACTCCTGCTTTTTTATGCTCTCCATTTGCTTGGTAAATCTTCCTCCATCCCTTTATTTTAAGCCTTTGTGTATCCTTGCATGTGCGATGTGTTTCCTGGATACAGCACACCAATGGGTTTTGTCTTTTTATCCAATTTGCCAGTCTGTGTCTTTCGATTGGGGCATTTAGCCCATTTACATTTAGGGTTAATATTGTTATGTGTGAATTTGATCCTGCCATTTTGATGCTAGCTGGCTGTTTTGCCCGTTAGTTTATGCTGTTTCTTTACTGTGTTGATGCTCTTTACCATTTGGTATGTTTTTGGAGTGGCTGGCACTGGTTGTTCCTTTCTATGTTCAGGGCTTTTTTCAGGAGCTCTTGTAAAGCAGGCCTGGTGGTGATGAAATCTCTGAGTACTTGCTTGTTCTTAAAGGATTTTATTTCTCCTTCACTTATGAAGCTTAGTTTGGCTGGCTATGAAATTCTGTGTTGAAAGTTCTTTTCCTTAAGGATGTTGAATATTGACCCCCACTCTCTTCTGGCTTGTAGGGTTTCTGCTGAGAGATCTGCTGTGAGTCTGATGGGCTTCCCTTTGTTGTAACCTGACCTTTCTCTCTGGCTGCCCATAGCATTTTCTCCTTCATTTCAACCCTGGTGAATCTGACGATTATGTGCCTTGGGTTGCTCTTCTTGAGGAATATCTTTGTGGTGTTCTCTGTATTTCCTGGACTTGAATATTGGCCTGCCTTACTAGGTTGGGGTAGTTTTCCTGGATAACATCCTGAAGAGTATTTTCCAGCTTGGATTCATTCTCTCCATCACATTCAGGTACACCTATCAAACATAGATTAGGTCTTTTCACATAGTCCCATGTTTCTTGGAGATTTTGTTCATTCCTTTTTACCTTTTTTTCTCTAATCTTTCCTTCTTGTTTTATTTCATTGAGTTGATCTTCAACCTCTTATATCCTTTCTTCTGCTTGGTCAATTCAGCTGTTGAAAGTTGTGTATGCTTCGTGAAGTTCTCGTGTTGTGTTTTTCAGCTCCATCATTTCACTTATATTCCTCTCTAAGTTATTTATTCTTGTTAGCATTTTGTCAAATCTTTTTTCAAGGTTCTTAGTTTCTTTGCGTTGGGTTAGAATATGTTCTTTTAGCTCAACAAAGTTTCTTATTACCCACTTTCTGAAGCCTGTTTCTGTCGTCAATTCATCACACTTTACATTCCACATTTTTCACCAAAAATCATAACATATATATTTGTTAATGTCATTCACAACAACTTGAAAACACTTTTTCTAATAACTACTTCATATTCCTGTATATACATATACCCAAAATTAATAGTTTCCCTCTAGATCATTCGTAATTTTAAAAAATAATGCTGATGCTGAGGCAGGAGGATCTCTTGAATCCATGACTTTGAGACCAGCCTGAGCAGCATAGCAAGACTCTATCTCAACCAGGCATGGTGGCTCATGCCTGTAATCCCAGCACTTTGGGAGGCCTAAGCAGGCAGATCACTTGAAGTCAGGCGTTTGAAACCAGCCTGGCCAACATGGTAAAATCCCGTCTCGACCAAAGAAATACAAAAATTAGCTGGCATGGTGGTGCATGCCTGTAATCTCAGCTACCCTGGAGGCTGAGGCAGGAGAATCACTTGAACCCAGGTGGCAGAGTTTGCAGTGAACCAAGATCACACCACTGCTCTCCAGCTTGGGCAGACTCCATCTCATAAAAAAAGGAAAGAAAGAAAGACTCCATCTCTACCAACACACACATACACACACACACATGCACACACACACACACACACACACGGAAAAAAAAAATCAGCCAGGAGTAATCCTAGCTACTTAAGAGGCTAAGCTAGGAGGATCTCTTGAGCCTAGAAGTTTGACGTTACAGTGAGTTTATTGCACCACTGCACTCCAGCCTAGGCAACAGAGCAATACACTGTCTCCACAATAAAATTAAAATTAAAACAATGCTTAGTTTAATCTTTTTGTTCATATTAACTGTGTGACCTTGGACATGTTCTTTAACCTCTCTTAGCTTTAATATTCTCATAGGGCCTGGATGTGGTGGCTCACACCTGTAATCCCAGCACTTTTGGAGGCCGAGGCAGGCAGATCATCTGAGGTCAGGAGTTCAAGACCAGCCTGACCAACATGGTGAAACCCCCGTCTCTACTTAAAAAAACAAAAAATTAACCAGGTGTGGTGGCACACATCTGTAATCCCAGCTACTCGGGAGACTGAGGCAGGAGAATCTCTTGAATCCTGGAAGCAGAGGTTGCAGTCAGCCAAGATCACACCATTGCACTCCAGCCTGGGCAACAAGAGCAAAACTCCATCTTAAAAAAAAAAAATTATCATAAAAATAATGGGCATAATAGTTCCTGCTGGCTGGGTGTGGTGGATCACGCCTGTAATCCCAACACTTGGAGGCCTAGTTGGGCAGATCACATGACATCAGTGGTTTGAGACCAGCTTGGACAACATGGTGAAACCCTGTCTCCACTAAAAATACAAAAATTAGCCCGGTATGGTGGTGTTCCTGCAATCACAGCTACTTGGGAGGCTGAGGCACAAGAATCACTTGAACCCAGGAGGCAGAGGTTGCAGTCAGCCAGGATTGAGCCACTGTACTCCAGCCTGGGTGACACAGTAAGACTCCATATTAAAAAAAAAAAAAAAAAAAAAAAAAAAGTTCCTGCCTCTCTTAGGTACAACATAGCTGTTCTAAGCATTATATAAAATCAAGTGTGAAGAATTTAGTATGGAAATGTCAAATACCAGTTAAATGTTAGCCATCATTACTGTCCTCAGCAATCATTATAAAGCTTCAAATTTATGATTATTTTCTCAGAATAGGATCATATAAGTGAAATCCCAGGGCTCATTTAAAAAACCCTGCTCTCTAAGTTACAAGTAGCAAAAAACATTCTTGGCTCTTTTCCAGTCCCTATTCTGATACTGGGAGCCCAATGTGGTTCATCAGGTTTTGCTCTGATGCCTTGGTCTGATGCCTCTGAGAGCTCCCTGGCTCTATGCTTCCCATTCTCTCCAACTAACCCCATCAGTCTTGTGATTTCTCTCCTACTGGGAGATGGACTGTGTAGCCTTGGATAAAAACAGTGGACAAAAAGAGCAATGAGTGATAATGAATGTTATTCTTCCTCATAGGTAACATAGCTGCCTTTTCCTATGGATCGCTAATGTCTAAACACAGAGAATTGGAATATGGGGTCTTCGGGATTCTCTAGAAAGTCCAATTGGGAAAAATTGTTGGTATTTGTGTGTTCAAATCTACAGACCAATTTGCATGTAGTTATGTTGCCTGAATTTCTTAACAGGGTGGACAAGGTCCTCTGTTCTTTATCCCTATATACTTCTCCAGCTTTGTCTCTTGCTACCACCACCCTGCAATGTGATGCTAAAATCATACAGCTGTTCTTGCTGTCTTCTCAAATGTGCCATGCCTTCTCTCCCACAAGGCTTTGCACATCATGTTCTCCTGCCTTGAACCCTCTCTGCTTACCCCTGCCTCCTTCATTTGGCTAACTCGTACTTATGATCCAGGCATCCTCTTGAACACTACATCTTCCTGGAAGTTTTCCTGTCCCCATGTCGGAGTTTGGTGCTCCATGGTTAAGCTCCCATGGCACCCTGTCATTACCCTTACTGGATCTAAATTGCCTGTTTATTCGCCTTCGTCCTGATCACACCATGTGGCAGCCATGGGGCCGCATCGCTTTGATCTCCCTTCAAGGAAGAACTGGCTATTTAGCTGCAAGGAGTGCAGTTAGCTGACAGCTTCCAGCTGTTAATGCCTTCAAGCTCTGCCTCAGCTTTCAAGCTGAAGCCAGGATCTTTTTGGGTGGCCCCAGCCAATGACTGAGTATCACAGTGGCACCAGGGCCAACTCAGGACTCCTTTAGCAGGAAATCTTTGGGTTGGCTGAGACTTCATCAGATCTCCACTGTGGTCTGAGGCTCTCTCTTCCTCATCCTGCCTCCTCCCTCTTTCCTTTGACAGTTGTCATATCTGCTTTTTGGCATAAGAGATTCCCCTGTCCAATCCTGCTTCCTCAGCTTTTCATGTTCACAGCTTACTTTTCAATGATCCTCCTGAAATCCTTCCTTTGTCACCTGCATGTGCTTTCTGGAGAATCTGAGTAACACCGACAATGAGCTCTTTAAAAGTAGAAACTTCATTCTTGTTCAAATTGTACCTTCAGCTCCCAGAAGAACACACAGTAGGATCTCAATAAATATCTATGAAAGGATTGAATGAATGAATGAACACTTAAGATAGTGTTCAACATTGAATGATGTTTTGATCTTATATAATTCACAGGTGCTGGTCAACAGTCAAGAACATTCTGATTTGAAGACTCAGAATCGTTTATAAAATGCACTGCAAAATGACATAATTACACATTTTTCAAGTGACTATTTTCCAACGATTGGATTTATGCCAAATATATAATTTACTCCTTAGAATAATCCCATGGGCTAATATAGTTGAGCATGAGTCATAATAGATATTTGTACTTGAAATTACACAACAGCTATAAAACTGTTATTTACTATCAAAATAGCAAATTTAAAATATTACTGCTTATGTGTGGAAATGCCATCTAAATGTTGTTTTATAGAATAAAATCAAAAAGCATTAAAAACCTTTCAAAATCTAGGCTCTATTTATTTGGTGCTTGCCACACTACTGTGTGTGTGAAATATCTAGCTAGCTGACTCCTCCACTAGATTGTAAACTCCTTGAGGACAAGCAAACCAGGCACTTCTCTGAATCTTATTGCACCCCCTTTAATGTAACCCTGGCATCTAACAAGGGCTGTGTTGCATTGGAGAATATATGGATTTTTAGTACCTCAGTTGAAATACAAGCTTTATCACTTACTAATTGTGGCCTTCAGCTTTCTAAAACTCATCCTCATTTTTCTAACCTTTAACCAAATCTCATAAGAATTTGTAGTGAGAGTTAGAGATATTTCCTTCCCTTCTTTTCTCTTTTTTCCCTCTCCCTCTCTACCTCTTCCGACCTTCCTTGCCTTCCTTCCTCCCTCTTTCTTTCCCTTCCCCATTTTCTCCCTTCCTTGCACCAATTTTAAAATTTTTATTAATTTAATAAAATTAAAACTCATTTTAATGAATAAATTAATAATTAATATATAATAATAAATTGATAAAATTTTATTAACCTACCAAATATCATTAAATGTCTATTATGTCCCAGGCACTATACTAGGTACTTTGGAAGCAGCAGTAAGTGAAACAGACAAGGCTTATGCCCCCTGTGAACTTTCTCAGTGGGGATGAGGGTTGTCAAAAATAATTACCCAAATAATGAATATGTGCAATAACAGAAGTGAGAGGGTGGCTAAAAAATAATGCCCTCAAAGAATATACATGTCAAACTCTGGCGCTTGTGAATGTGATTTTATTTGGGTAAAGGGTCTTCAAAGACGTGATTAAAGATCTTGAGATAAAAAGACAATCAAGGCTTAAGGGCAGAGGTGGGGCTAAATGCCATCCAAAGATCCTCACCTGAACCCTTATAAGACACACAGAGGAGAAAACACACAGAAGGGGAGGAGGCAACATGGCCACAGAGGCAGAAATTGGAAAGATGCAGCCACAAACCAAGGAATGCTGGAGCTACCAGAAGCTGGAAGAGGTGAGGAAGGATTCTTTCCTAGAGCTTTAGGAGGGAACACGGCCCCACCAACACCTTTATTTTGGATTTCTGGCCTCTAGAACTGCAGTAAAATACATATCTGTGATTTTGAGCTAGCAAGTTTGTAACAAATTGTTATAGCAGCCGCAAGAAGCTAACACAAGTGAGTAAATAAACAAGGATCTGGGGTTCTGGGAAATGACTGTGCAGAGACCTGAGTCCTCTCCATGTTTTCTTGCTTTCCATATTCTATGGCATGTTAGAATATTGTCTCATTTTCTAGACTCTACATTTTTCCTTCCCTGATTGATATACTCTTGCCTTGCCCTTGCCTAGAAAGTGAGAGATGAATTCCCACAGGTTTAATTTTAATCCCTTTTGCTGCGGATTCTCTGCAGTCTATGCTTCACATTCTTAGAAGAACACCACAGAGCTCTATCAGCCTAGGTATTTATAATGACAGACAGAGGATGGCTGCAGAGGCACGCCTGCAACTCCCTAACATGCTTTTACACTTTACTGTGATGTGGTGTAAAGTATACAGGCAGATGCCATGAGTTCTGCATTTCAGTTCAGCTTAAACACCAATTGATTGAGTGCTCTTTGACAAGTCATTTAAGATACTTATGCCTCAATTTCTTCATGTGAAATGAAGGTTTCTCTGTCTTTAAAAATAACCATAATTCCATACTCAATTTTTTTTACATTTGTGCAAAAACATTTATGTAAATTGACTTAGGGTCCTATATAACTAATTCTGTGAGTAAGACGTTCTGCAGTACACATTATCTAAAAGCAGGAGAATCTATACTCTTAGGTACTGTGCCCATCTTGGTTTTGCACAAATGATTCCCCATTAATCAGATGTAGAAGTAACACAAGTCTTGACTGTGCCCCCAGAAATCACAACTCAAAAGTCAACCTTTAGGAATTCCTTTAAAAAAAAACACAAAAGTTGTTTCATGGCGGAATTTCCCTTGGTAAGCTTGAACAAGTAGTATAAGCAAAGTTATTCAATCAAGAGATTCACCGTCATACTTCCTTTATGAGTTTGGTAATAAACAGGCCCTGGCTGGTGCCTGTAGTTTATTCATTATTATTATTACTCATTATTATAACACATCTCTGGGTCTGTGCTCTAGGCAAACCAAGTCTAAACACATCTCTTCCCTCACTCTTCTTCCTCACCCCCATCAGCTCTATGACACAAGATAATCTTAGTCACTTATATAAACTAGAAGATATTCATCAATTAGTCCACTCCTTTTGCTTGCCACTGCAGAGATAGAAATGTGTGACACACGAATGGCTCTCGACATCAAAGAGCTTATCTGTGCAAAGACAGCCAAGGATTCATGTCAGCAGCATGTTGTGAGGACCGATGTAAGAGTGCTTGAATTTGCTATAGAAGCAGATAGCAGGAAGCAAATACTCTGGTCTGCTGGCCTGGAAGTTAGCCCATTCAATGACCAGGACTACAGCAGGACCCCAGCCCTTCCTAACCCTCTGGTGATTCTTCTCCCTGCATTTGGTTCTGAAGATTTAAATGTCCAAATCTGGTCTTGCTTCTTTGCTTACTTCCTAACAATTGCCATGGAGTCAGGTGGCACAGCAAAAGGTAAATTAAATACAAAGATGCTCTGTTTCAGATCCACATGGCTTCTATGACTCACTGAATCAGAACTAATATTTTCACTCTTTGCTAGAACTAATATTTTTACTCTTTGTTGAATAGTTTTGGTGAAAACTATTCACCAAAGTTCTTTGAGCTACCGTATTTCTCTGTCCTTAACCTACATCTCAATTTCTGTACTGGTATGTTTGCATCATGGAAAGTCAAATATCAGACTATTAGTAGGGCGCTTGATGTATGGGGCATTGGCTTCAAAACAGCAGATCTTGGCTTCAGATTTGATTCTGTTATTTATCAGCAGTGTGGCTCTCCCCTGACCAGGCTTCACTTTCCATCAGAGTAAAATGAGAGCAATCATATCTCACCTATCATCCTCACAAGTTTATTGAGAAACTTTTAATAAGCCCATGCATTGAAACAGGATTTGTAAACCTGAAGCACATAAATATGTAAGGAATAATTATTTTCATTTTTGCCTCTTCTCTACACATATGGCAGTCTCAAATTACTTAGTACTCCTGTTCCATTAAACAAAGAGCAACTGAACTCTGAAGACTTTCTTAAAAGCTGAGCCAGAAAAGTGCTGTCAATGTCCTTTAAATTTCATAATCTCTTAGAATTTGCTTCTATAGCTTCATATCTTTTTGCCAGTTCCTAAATATTCTTTCTCTTGTGACTGACAGTCTGGAGCACTCAATAAATGTCTGCTGAATTAATATATTAATAACTCAGTGTTTATTAGTCAAGATAGTCTTAGCTATGCTGCAACAACAGATATACCCTGAAATCTCAGTGTCTCAGCCCAACAAAATTTTATTTCTCACTCCTGTAAAATCTGATGCAGGCCATGGGATAGGGCTAGGCTCCTAATGACTCAGAGGACCAGGGTTCTTCTGTATTATGAATCAAGACAATATTTTCTGAAGTTGCTTCAGGGAAGGAAGAAAAGATGGAGAAAGCTCTAGGCTTTTAACTGCCATGGCTTACAAATGTCATTTCCACTCACTAATTGGCCAGAACTAATTGTATAGCCCAACCAAACTGCAAAAGAGGCTAGAAAATGTAGAAGAGCAAATGAAATATTTATTGAGTGCCAACTTCTCTGAAACACGATGCCCTCTACCTCAGTAAGAGTCGTTGTCTGTTACGTCCCCAACACAGAATGCAGGGAAATATAACAATACGTAAGACAGACAAAGGCCAGGCGCAGTGGCTCACACCTGTAATCCCAGCACTTTGGGAGACCAAGGTGGGGGGATTGCTGGTGTCCAGGAGTTTGAAGCCAGCCTGGGAAACATAGAAAGATCCTAGCTCTACAAAAAAAAAAAAAAAAAAAAAATCGAAAATTAGCTAGGCATGGTGGTACATGCCTATAGTCCCAGCTGCTCAGGAGACTGAGGTGGGAGGATCACCTGAGCCCAGGAGGTGGAGGCTGCAGTGAGGTGTGATTATGCCACTGTACTCCAGTCTGGGCAACAGAGTGAGACACTGTCTCAAAAAAAAAAAAAAAAAAAAAAAAATACAAATTCCCTGATTTTTTGGAGGGTATATTGAGGTGAAAGAGTGAGAACATTCTGGCTGCATTTTAGTTTCAAAGTATCATGTACTGTTTATCCTTCCATTTCAATTATTGTTTGTCCTTCTACTTCAATTGTGCCATTTTTGAGGGTGTCAAAGTTTTTTTAAAGAATAAGGCAGGGACCATTCCAACAGCTCTGTGCTTCTCCCTAGGGAAATGAGACTTGTGTCTCTTGCTTCAGCTTCTGTCTTCTGGTCATGAGGTTCAAAACTCCCTGTGATTTCAGCTGGGAAGATGGCAGAGGAAAGGAAGTCCAGTGTCTTCCAGCTGGACTTGTTTAGATTGGCACAGTCTTTGTAAGCAGCTGTGACTTCAGAGCTGCTGGAAAATGTGCTTATCACCCTAGAGGACTGAGTGGGAAGGATAAGATCCTAGCTGACAGAATCTGAATGAAAGCCAGTGGAAAATGGGCCTCAGCCTTTTGGTAGGTGGGTGGGAAGAAGATGTGGGGTCCAGCCACAGGGTGTGAGCAAGCTGTGATATTATCTTTATTATTGTAGCCAGATAGAATAGAATCCTAAGACAGATAGAATCTTAGACAGATAGAATGGAATTCTGGCGCAGTGGCTCACACATGTAATCCCAACTACTTGGGAGGCTGAGTCAGGAAGATCATTTGAGGTCAGGAGTTCAAGATCAGCCTGGGCAGAACAGCGAGACTCCCATATCTAAAAATATATAGATATAGTCAGGCACAGTGGCACGTATCTATAGTACCAGCTACTCAGAAGGCTGAGGCAGGAAGAGCGCTTCAAGCTAGGAGTTCGAGGCTGTAGTGAGTTATGATCATGCCACTGCCCTCCAGGCAGGGTGACAGAGTAAGACAGTCAATAAAAACTAAAATTAAAAAAAAAAAAAGAAAGAAATGGAAACTTAGTTTTCATTGAGTGAATGAGAAATATATGCAATTATGTTTCCTTCTTTGCCATTTCCCCTTATCACTGAGTTTCTTTCCAGCCTAAAGGGAAAATTTCTTTTTCTCTTTTGTTTTAATGTCTGCCAAAACCCTGACACCAATCTCTGGGCTGACTTCACCCAACATTACTTGCTCCTCCAATGCAGACTAGCATTTCTTGAGTCTCTGCACTTCACTTAAAACTTATACTACATGTTGTTAACATCCATTTCCATCACTTCTGTCTCCACTTGGTCTTCTATCACATGGGTCAGAAAGCTAAAAATTATCTTCTCAGTCTCTTTGTCCAGTTTGATGCGATTTAGAGTCCATCAATGAGTTGTATTTTAATGAGATTGGAAAGTGGGAGGGAAGAGAGCCATTCTTCTTAGTGTCAGTATTGGCTGATGCACATGCTTATCAAATGGGAGCTTGTGCAGTCACCAGAAAGCTGGTGTGAAAACTGATGTGAGGGTGTGGGGCAGCTGTGATGGTGAATGTGGTTTCCGGCAGCCTACTGAACTGGGTGGCAGCTACAAGAGAAGCCCAGAAAATCTGCATGTTTCACCAGTTGCTAGGTGATGCTGACAGTGCTGGTCCAGGAACGACACACTGAGAACAACCGTCTGAAGCAATAAAGACATTAAGATAAAAGAATCTTGCTCCTATAAATTATTTGGGATAATTAAGGTCTCAAATCCCCTATTGAATTTGTCATTGGAGACCAGACCACTTTACAGTGACTTCCAGAAAAAGCCCCTCATGGGAAAGCCCTGATGCATTTCAGCCAGCTGCATGGGGTTGAGAGCTAATTAGCAGGGAAGCTAGAATGGTCTTGCTTTCCCAGGCGTGTTATCCAGCAAACCCAGAGACAGTGGGTTGTTGAAGAAAATTATACAGATGAGACTCAGAAGCTGCCATTTCATTGGGGGAAGATTTTGCCTTTTCATTACAGAAGAAAGCTAACATTTCCCATCTTTCTTTCCACCAAAAGTAGGCAAGCATAAAACCAAAGCCAATTTCTTACAATTTAGTAACCTCAGTACCAACCAATTATGTTCCCGGGACATGAGAAACAGCTGTTGTAACATTAGAGCTCGAACAGTTTCATCTCAGCTATTTAAGGAGATAAAAGAGCCAATATTTTCATTCCCTTGTGATATTATCAAGACATGATAAACAACCAGGACTATAGTATTAATTACATTAATTTGGAGAGGAGAGGGACCACTTTAATTGCTCCAAGCTGGACAATAATTTTTTATGGGCAGACAATCATTCCATAAATTCACATTAGAGAGAGTACTTTGTCTTATTTTATCAGCAACAAAACTTCTGGAAGCAAAAAACCACCACCATCCCCTTTTAAGGTAGACTTCAATAGAAAAAAAAAAAAAAATTCTCACTGTTGATATGTATCAGTTGCTCAAACCTGACACATTGAGCTGTTTGGTATAAAGAAACATAGGGAAGGTATTTGTCCTTAAAGAATTCATAATCTAAAAAAAGAAGTAGTAACAACAGCTAGATTTGAATACTTTCTTATATGTAAAACGTATATGAAGAGTGTGTTGCCTCTGTCTCGGGATTAAGATCAAATGAGGGTATGGAGAAAGCATTAGGAAGAATAGCTAATAGGTGCTGCGCTTAATACCTGGGTGATGGGTTGATCTGTGTAGAAACCACCATGGCACACATTTATCTGTATAACAAACTGCACATCCTTCACATATATCCCTGAACTTAAAATAAAAGTTGAAGAAAAAAAAAGAAGATCAAATGAATGATGGACATCAAAATGCTCTCTAAGTCATACACCCTAAAAAAGCAGAAGAGAAAAGGGAAATATTTCTTGAATGCCTTCTACATTTCTACATGAGGCACTGAGCTAGGTGCTTGACTTACATGGTCATATTTTAAAACACATAAGGAACTTTAGAAAGAATACAAACATATAAAGGAGAAAATACAATAGTGAAAATGCCAATTTTGTCAACATGGAAATTATTCAGATAACACTCAATTTTTTCAATGTGGAAACTATTCAGACAAAGTGTATGATATATATTAAGTAATAAGATATATGTTAGCTACAATAAGAATCCTCTGTCACCCCCAGAACCTGATAAGTGGCCACATTCTGAAATCACTTAAGCGTATACTATAGTTGGGTAAGTAATCTACTAAGACTTCTGGAATTAAAAACTGCACTCAGCTCCAATGTTTGGGATGGAGGAAGATAGATGGAAAGGCCCTGGAGAATTAGGAGTGGCTCCAAGAAGTAGGTCCTAAGAGCTGTTGGATGCAGCAAGTGTTGCTGTGGCTTTAAATTCACAGTTTATAATTCAGGGTCCAGGGGATTCCATCCAGGTTTCTAGAAGCACTTGTTCTAGAATATCCCTATGAACAGTGCTGATATTGTCACATTTGCCAGATTCTCCTTCAGGTTCTGCCCAAGCTACTATGAAGCAGTTGTGGGGAGTGGATCTTCCAATGCTTGGAATGCTCTGGAAACTTGAATTGAGGATGAGAGCAGTTCAGCATGGGACTAGTACCAAGACACATTACAGAAGAAGGGGTTGGAAGAAATTGAAGGAACACTCTGGGGTTGTGCATTCCCCATTGCAGAATTGGGGACACTGCCATAAATGGGGAGCACTCACTGGAGAATGAAAAACTTTGAATGTTGCAAAGTTCTGAACCACAAGGTTCCTTTTTATGTAGCAATACCTTCATAATGTATGTGTCCACTGGGAAGCGACTATGAACACACAGAGCCACTCGGTAAGACTGTATGTATCAATATGGTGATGTGTGAAATGTATTGGGGAGAGAGAATGTCAACTGCAAACAGTAATGTTTTATATGATCTCACTTGTATTTAAAAATACAAAAATATGAATATAAAAGTACTGTGAGTGTATATGTGGAAATATTGACATTGGTTATCACTTGATAATGGGTATGGGGGGTGGTATACCCTTACCCATTATAATGAGATAATCGGTATCTTCTCTATGTTTTCTGAATTTCCTACAGTACTATATAACTTGTAAAAAACATAATTTTTCAGAACTAGAATTATTTTTCTTATCTTCAGGGTAGCAGTATATAAAACTTGTTGGAAGCTTACCATGCCACACAGTATTGCACCTTTGTGAGGTCATTTTCTCACAATGGGGAAATAAGGTTGTTCTTTAATGAGAGGAGGTGTTACTCCAAGGAAGCAAACGAAAAAACATTAATTGTAGAATTTCATGTGCTCTCACTACTACTCCTAAGTCATCTGGAAATTCAGCTCTTCCTGACCTCTACCTATAGCCTTCATTTCGGAAGCAGGCAATAAAATTAGGAAGAGGATGACCTGGGAGGAAAGAGACTGGTATTGATAACGTCATGACTATAGATAGACATACAGGTGTAAGTAAGTTCATGTCTGCTCCTGAGTCTGAATTACCTTGACCAAAAAATGTTTTCCTAAGTGAAGACAAATGAAAGCTATATGGGTAATACTAGAAGTGCTTTTTAAAAAACCTTTGTTTTAATTTAAATATATAAAAAGGGATGAAATACAGTATACTCAAAAAGCTAGACACCCTGTAGACCTAAAACGCAACTAGACCTCAGAATAATAGATCTTACAAGATAATCATGTCTACCCAAATGATCCCCCACAAAATGCCATCTACTCCTGTTTTATGATGTGCTGGAGAGACAATGTTATGACTCTCATCCAGATTTGGTTTTGGTTTCTTGTTAACCAATTTTTTTAAAGCTGAATTGGTAGCAAAGACATTGTATCAATCTGGGTGCCCATCAACAATGCATTGGATAAGGAAAATGTGGTACATACATACCATGGAATACTGCACAGACATAAAAATGAACAAAATCAGGTTCTTTGCAGCAACACGGATACAGCTGGAGGCCATTATCTTAAGTGAACTAACGCAAAACCAGAAAACCAAATGCTGCGTGTTCTCACTTATAAGTGGGAGCTACGCATGGGGTACACATAAAGACAGGAACAGGAGACATGAGACTACTTGAGGGAAGAGAGAGGGAGTGGGACAAGGGCCGAAAAACTACCTATTGGGTACTATGCTTAGTACCTGGGTACCAGGTTCAATTGTTCCCCAGACCTCAGCATCACGCAATATACCTTTGTAACAAACCAGCACAGAAGAAACTATCCATGGCCTATTAGATATCCCACCCTTATTCCTTGCTAACACAGTCCTAATTGTGTTTGTGTATTGAGCAGCAACATACTGGGGAAAGTAGGCTTTGCGCTGGTAGATTACTGACAGTCTAACTCATGGTCATTGCATTTTCTTTTGCTGGTGGTAGTTAGGTGTGTGATCTGCTTCTGGGTGATACTGGAAGGGTGAGTATTCTGGAACAATTTTTGTCTTTGACAAGAAAGCACGTAGCACAAACAGAAACTGCTGCGACTCTGCTTTCTTCCTGTTTGTAGTTGAGGTAACAAAGTTGCCTGGAGATGGGGTAGCATTAGTGTGGACATCTCGGACACTTTAAAGATACAAAATGGGAAATCTGCAAAACTCTAGACTCTTTATGATATTTGCAGTCTTCTCCACAAACTAATGCCAATCTCTAGACCACCTGTTAAGTGAGAAGCACTGATCAGGCCTTTTGTTTAAGCCACTTTTAGTTTGGAGATGCTGTTACTTGCATCAGAAACAAGCCAGAGAAAGAAAATATTACAACTCTCTTTAGCATCCTATTTTGATCTGTTTTTTAAAGTTTACTCTTCATAATCATTTCAGACATTAAATTAGAAAATTTGAAAATATCTAACTTACTGTTTACCCGCAGGACGCTGAAAGTCATCCCTGCAGGAGGGCAAGAAATACAAAAGAAATGCAGGTCCTTTCCAGCAAGAAATTTTTATTCACGGCATGGTCGGCTAGACGCATATCTGCATTTGGAAAAGGAAGAGGCAGAGGCAGAAGACTACATCTTTTCTGTTGACCATGAGTGGTAGCAAGCCTGCTTCATCACTCATAGACTTCAGAGTTAACGGAGGCAAAAAATTTCACCTTCTGAAGGGTAAAGCTGGTATTCTTTGACCATATAGTTTTATAGGAAATTTCATCTTTTCTCATCTCCAAGAGAAACTTTTATTTTAAAAGGTTTAAAGTGGAAGCACTTTATTGATGATATTGGCCATGAAGCCCGAGGAGACACGTGCACACATCCAGCCTTGAGCCTTGGCAGCTTGCCTCTAAGCCCTGCCACTTCAGAGGCCAGGGAAGAGCCAGGGAGATGGCTGGGAGGCAGGACTGGATTTTGGATTCTTGACCATGAGGCTACTTCATTACTGCAGGGACAGGTATCCTGGGAAAGCTAATGATCCCCCTCTAGAGCCAAATAAATTGAATACTTGGGTGAAGGATTTAGCCTTGAAAATGAGTTTCAGCCAGTAGTAAACCTACTGAGAATAAGGCAAATGGGCTTACAGAAATAATATAGTAATTTTAAATGTGTGCCTCCCTTTCCTGATTGTAAGCAGCACTGAAATATGAACAGAAATAAATCTATTGTAAAGAAAATTCCATTTTCCTATTGGCCTGTATATTTCAAAGATGATTTATCAAGAGGATTAATTTGCAGGTTGGATTTGTTTCAGATCCTTTAGTTTAATTTAAAAATTTTCTTCTCCTTTCCAAAACTTTCCCCCCAAAATTAAATTATATTATAGTATATTACATTGCATTACTAGAGGAATTCACTCATTCTTCACTCATTCTTTCCATACAAATGTAATGAGCACTTACAGTGTGTCAGGCTCTGTGCTAAGTATCCAGGAAACTGAGGTGAGAAACAGATCATCCTGATCCTCACAAAGTTAATGCTCCTTATGAGACTTGCAGTATGTAAATCAGTAATTGGAATAAAATAGGACCTGGGTGCTGTGCCTCACTCACGCCTATAATCTTAACACTCTGGGAGGCTGAGGCAGGAGGATCGCTTGAGCACAGGAGTTCAAGACCAGCCTGGGCAATATGGCAAAACCTCATCTCTACAAAAAGCACAAAATTAGCCAGGCATGGTGGTGTGCCTGATTGCTTGAGCCTGGAAGGTTGAGACTGCAGTGAGCCGTAATTGTGTCACTGCACTCAAGCCTGAGGGACAGAGTGAGACCCAGACTTAAAAATAAATAAGTAAATTAAAAAGTGTCCACACATAAGCACAGGTGGGAGCAGCACTACCACAGAAGACGAACAAGGTCCCAGGATGAGCCATACCAGACAAAATAATCACCTTCACCTGGAGAGGAAGGAAATTCACACAGAAATGAAGCTTTTCATTCAATACAGATTCCTTCGCAACATTAATAACCATTGCCAAAATCGATCCATTTTGTCATATTTTAATAAGCCAGTTTGTCTTAAAGCAGGACTTGGCTTAGGCAATATATCTACCCTATTTTATTTTAATTAGGCTTTTTTTTTTTTTTTTTTGAGAATATGGGTTTATTCACTTAGGTGCTCACTCAAAAAAAAAAAAGTATTGTCTACCATTATGAGCCAGGTCTATAGGGCGATTCTGGTTCCCAATGTAAGTTAAACACAAAAAAGAAGAAACTAGGATGGACTTGAAGGGAATGAAGGTAATCATCATAGGGCCTTGTCAATTCCATATGGGTGGCTAACAGAATACTTAGGAGCCTGGTCCTCATAAATCTGACAATTAATTTTCTACCTTGGATTAAGAGACCAACTGGTTCAAGCCACTTTCTTTTCAATTAAGGGAAGAATCTCAGTGCTACATTCAAATTAGTAACTGAGTTTCCGATGGAAACATCCCAACAACATAATAACATCATAATAATGATCTGACTTGGGGCCATACATTTGAACACATACATGTATAATCATATCCATGAACTTTTTTTTGAGACAGTCTTGCGTTTTTGCCTAGGTTGGAGTGCAATGGCGCGATCTCGACTCACTGCATCCTCTGCCTCCCGGGTTCAAGTGATTCTCATGCCTCAGTCTCCCAAGTAGCTGGACTACAGGCATGCGCCACCATGCCCAGCTAAATTTTGTATTTTTGGTAGGGATGAGGTTTTACCATGTTGGCTAGACTGGTCTCAAACTCCTGACCTCAAGCAATCTGCCTGCCTCTGCTTCCCAAAGTGCTGGGATTACAGATGTGAGCTACCGTGCCCAGCCTTATCTATGCACTTTAAAGAGGCTCATGCACACATTTTTTTTTTTTTTAGATGGCATTTTGTTCTTGTCACCCAGGCTAGAGTGCAATGGCGCAATCTCAGCTTACCGCAACATCTGCCTCCTGGGTTTGAGCGAGTCTCCAGCCTTGCCTCTGGAGTAGCTGAAATTACAGGCACACAAGACCATGCCCAGCTAATTGTTTTGTTTTGCTTTAGTAGAGATGGGGGTCTCACCATGTTGGCCGGCTGGTCTCGAACTCCTGACCTCAGATGATCTACCCGCCTCAGCCTCCCAAAGTGTTGGGATTACAGGCGTGAGCCACTGCACCTGGCTTCATGGACACATTTTAAAGAATGTGTCCTGGCCGTCTCAAGAATGCTACCCTGAGTCCCACCCTAAGAAAGGCTGGTGTTGAAAGCAAGCCTGGGAAGGAAAGAGACACAGAGATCTAAGCCCCGTGTGTAATGGGAGTGGTAGAATGCATCAGAAGCTGTCAGAATGTGACAAGAGGAAGAGGGCATTTATTTTAAGGGTGTGGGGAGAAAAATAAATTAGGCTGCAATCAGATTCTTCATGCAGGGGCCAGGAGTTGAGAGGTGCCCTGTGCTTGTGTATGGATTTTTTTTTTTTTAAAGAACACCCAAGTGGAGAACAAGGAGATATAATTTTTCTTGACACACCAATGTACAATAAGAACATATATTTAGTAACATTTGCCTCCCTGCACCCCAAGCAGCTGTTCAGCTCCAGCAAACACTCTTCCTTTCAGGCAGGGCAGGGGAAGTGTATGCTGCTTGTCTCTTGAGTCCTCAGTGAGAGCTGGGACTAGCATTCCAGAGCCCATCCGCTCCTCACCAGGCAGCAGGGGGTCAAACACAGCCAGTGCTTAAGAAGCAAGGTCAGAGAAATTGCTCCAAGGGAAGACCAACTGGGGAGTCTGTCTGATTTAGACAGGAAGAACAAATCTGCTTTAATTTGGAAGCCACTCTCTGGTCAGGCTCTTAAGGACCCCAGTAGAGTTAAAATTTGCTTCTCTTATTATACCTTTTTAAAAGCCAGAAGCAGGAAAGAGAATCTCTTGAAATTATTCCTCCCTGCTCTGTGAGTCTATAACTCACCAGGCAAGGTTTTTGGCTGTCAGAAAAAGGTTTTACAGCTCCTGGAGGTAAGACTTATGTGAAGTGGAAGACAGGATATATCCACTTCAGGTGAGCCCACCATTTTTACGACATAGTGAACACCTGGTTTCCTAGGGTCATAGTCACCTTCTTGACAAATCCTGACAGGTGTCTTGGGAATGCAAGTGGCAGTAAAAATGACCAAGGGGAAGAAAGACCCTGTGAAAACGTGATATATGATCCAGTCAATAATTTGTTTTCATTTTTATTTATTTATTTAGAGACGGGGTCTCCCTCTGTTGCCCGGGCTGGAGTGCAGTGGTAAGATCACAACTCACTGCAGCCTGGACCTCCTGGGCTTGAGTGATTCTCTCGCCTCTGTCTCCAGAGTCGCTGGGACCACAGGTGTGTGCCACCACACTCAGCTAATTTTAAAATTATTTTCTAAAGGTGAGGTCTCACTGGGTAACCAAGCTGGTCTCAAACTCCTGGGCTCAAGCAATCCTCTGGTCTCAGCCTTCCAAAGTGTAGGATTGCAGGTGTAAGCCACTGTGCCTGACCAAGGACAGGTGTTCATTGGAGCCTTGATTCATTTGTTCCTTCACTCATTGACACGTTCAGTATAATATGCTGGTGCTGCTCAAAGCAGTCCTTCACTGTCAGGATCCTTATAAACTGAGGACTTGTCAGAAATACACATTCTTAGCCACTGCATAAAGTACTCTATATAAAACCCACAAATGTGGAGGAGCCAACCCCCTCCCCCACCCTTGGACTATAGATTTATAAATTTTTTTTTTATTTAATAAATTTAAAAAATACACATCCTTGCATCCACCCCATACCTAGGGTGGTGGGATGTCTCTACGAATAGGCAAGTGTGACAAAATGTCTTTCTTTCTTTTTTTTTTTTTTTTTTTTTTTTGAGACGGAGCCTTACTCTGTCACCCAGGCTGGAGTGCAGTGGTGCAATCTCAGCTAACTTCAACCACTGCCTTCCGGGTTCAAGTGATTCTCCTGCCTCAGCCTCCCAAATAGCTGGGATTATAGGCACATGCTGCCACACCCAGTTAATTTTTGTATTTTCAGTAGAGACAGGATTTTGAGATGTTGGCCAGGCTGGTCTCAAACTGCTGACCTCAAGTGATCCGCCCCGCCTAGGCCTACTAAAATGTTGGATTACACGTGTGAGCCACTGTGCCTGGCCAAGATGTCATTTTTGAGATGAAGTTGCAGAAGGATTTGGCTGCAGTGTTGGCCACACTCTCCCTGACTTGCTGTGAGGGAAGCCAGCTGCTACATTGGGAACAGCCTTTTGAGGAGGTCCATGTGGCAAAGAACTGATGTCTCCGGCCAACAGCCAGCAAGGACCTGAGGTCCACCAACAGCTGTGGGCCTGAGTGTGGAATTGGTTCCTCCCCGAGTCACACCGTGAGGTGACTGCAGCCCCTAACATCTAGACTGGAGCCTTGTGAAAGACTCTGTGCCACAGTGCCCAGCTAAGCAGTGCCCAGATTCCTAACCCACAGAAACTGTGAGATGAGAGCTAGGTAACTAATACAACTACTGAATCAGAAATTCCGCAAAGTGGCCAGGCACTGTGGCTCACGCTTGTAATCCCACCACTTTGAGAGGCCGAGGCAGGCAGATCACCTGAAGTCAGGAGTTCAAGACCAGACTGGCCAACTGGTGAAACTCCATCTCTACTAAAAATACAAAAAGTTAGCCAGGTGTGGTGCATGCCTGTAGTTCCAGCTACTTGTGGGGAGGAGGGCTGAGGGAGGAGAATCACTTGAACCCAGGAGGTAGAGGTTGCAGTAAGCTGAGATCGCACCATTGCACTCCAGCCTGAGTGAAAAGAGCAAAACTCCATGTCAAAAAAAGAAAAACCAGAGAGAGATTCTGCAAAGTGAGTCCCTGGAATGTGTATTTTGACATGTTCTGCAGGTGGTTCTCATGGACAGTAGTTTGAGAAGCACGCTGTGACAAAGTTAAGAGCAAGAGCTTTTGAGTCAGACTGCCTAAGTTCAAATCCTGGCTCGAATATTTCTAAGCTGTAGGAGCTCAAGTGAGTTATGTACCTCTCTGGGCTTTAATTTCTTTTGTAAAATGTGGCTAATAATAGTATATACTTTCTGGGTTGTAAAGAGAGTTAATTGGGTTAATATATTTAATGCATTTAGCATATTGCCTGGCAACAGCAAGCACAATAAATTCAGTGATGATTCATTCATTCAACAAACATTTATAAGGCCCCAACTAAGGGTAGGCAATGTGCTAGATGCTGGCGTTATAAGGGTTGAGTAGACATAATCCACTTCTGGCACTGTTGTCCTATACAGGAGGTGGCCATATAAAAGAATGGACACAGTAATGGGATAAAGATGCTACAATTGAGTTCTGCACAGAGTGAAGTGGAGCCCAGAAGAGGTCAGTTTTATTCTGGATGAAAGCATTAATGCAAAGATTAGTAACTCGGGTATTTGGGGGTTGGAAAAGAATAGATGATTTGGGCTTGCGTCCCCCAAGTCCCTCACCTCAGTCTTTCTGAGTCTCTAGAGCTTCCTTTTCATGTGGATGGCAGACAAATCTACTGTCACTAACAGCCTCTTCAGGCAGGAGCTGCACAAATGCAAGGCCTGCATACCTCATTCACAAGGCTCTAGGTCCTTGGTTCTGCTTTCTGCTTCTAGACCGGGCAGCTCAGTTCAGCCCAGCTCACCTTAGGGTGTTTGCAATTGCTTTTCCCTTTCCCGGAAAGATTCTTTCCCCTCCTCCTTTCAAGGTTCTCCTTCTTATCCTTCATGTCCCTGCCTAAATGCCTCCTCAAAGATGTCTTCCTGTTTACTGTGTTTAAATACCATCTCCGTTTCAGAGCCCATTTCATTTCCTGAGCAGTGCTAGCGTTCAACACTTGTTTGTTCATTTCCCCATTCACCATTGTCTCACTGAGTAGACTTCACAGTCTCTAAGGGCTAAGCCTTGGTCTTTCACGCACCATGATGCACACCAGGGGACACAGCAGGCATTCAATAAATACTTGTTACTGAGTGGATAAATGGATGAATGAACTTGTCCTTTCAACACTTCAGCATGATTTGCTGAAATGTCCATCTTAATTATGACGAACATTAATTCAAATTCTGGAAGATGTAACTGCTGAAAAACCAGAATGTGAAAGCCTGTCACTTTAAGGGTCTGCCATCCCTGTCACTTTGGGAAGGGATGGGAGAGTGAGAGGACATCATAATTGTTAACATTTACTGGCCAGACACAGTGGCTCACGCCTGTGATCCCAGCACTTTGGGAGGCCTAGGTGGGTAGATTACTTGAGGTCAGGAGTTTGAGACCAGCCTGGCCACATGGTGAAACCTTTCTCTATAAAAAATACAAAAACTAGCCGGGCATGGTGGCAGGCAACTGTAATTTCAGCTACTTGGGAGGCTAAAGCAGGAGAATTGCTTGAACTCAGGAGGTGGAGGTTGTAGCAAACTGAGATAGTGCCACTGCACTTCAGCCTGGGTGACAAAGCAAGACTCCATCTCAAAACAAAAACAAAAACAAAAAAGCCCACATTTACTGAGTACCTCTTCCAGGATGGGGGCAAGGTGTTAAGTGTTTTATATGTGTCATCCCGTATGCATCTGAAGTAGTCATCATCATTCTTTGTCCAGTAGGGGGAAGTGGAGAAACTGAGGCTTAGAGATCTTAAGTAACTTGCCAGTGTGGTGTAGAGCCACAACTTAATGCAGGCAGACTCCAACGCTCTTGTGTTTAACCACTATTCTCTCCTGCCTCCAATGAAATGCAGCTCATTACGTAAATATTCTGCACAAATGGAAGTATACACAGTTGAACAACTATATGACACTATAACACCAGACCAGATCGGGAAATACCTGAAAGGTTTCTCAAGGCTGCAGGCAGGAGATCTTATCCATGAATATAGGAACCAGGCCGTGGCCAAGTAAGTGGTAGCTTGCTCCTTCCCTTGCCCAGGGGTCCCATGTTGTTCGGAAGAAAGGGAGTCCTAGTGCAGTAGAAAGTCACATCACCTCCAATTGACTAGGGAGCTTTTTCTCACCTACAAAAGAAGTTTGGTAGTCTCTTCCTAAACCCTTCAAGGATTAGCATTCTCCTTGTCAAGGTGGCATGTAATTCACAGCAACTGGCAGTTCCTGTTGCGAGGAATTCCAAGATCGGACCAGTCAAGGTGGGGAAAGGGGCGGTGACAGGTCAGATCAGAGCTTAGGTAGAGAAGTTGGTGGGGGGTAGAGGTGGAGAGGGTCAAGAAGCAGGAAGGAGGAGGTGAAGCTTTACAAAGCAGTGGGGCCTGTCTGTGTTGAGCCTAAAGCAGTCTTTAATGGACAGTTCCCATTAGCAACAAGTCTCCACAGGCCAAAATGAAGAAGAAAGGAACCAGGCTTACCCAGTCTTTAACAGGACTGAAGTCTGCATTTTTCCCGTGTCATGAGGAATTATTGGGCCAGCAGCCAGGGTAGGCTATCCTAGGGTAAAATCCTCAGTAGGAGAGAACAATTAGAGAAACGATTAATTATGCTTCTGAGGGTAATTCCCTTTTCAGGGCTTACTTAAAGCCAGAATGTATGTTTCTAGTCTGCTTTAGTGAGATTTAAATATTCAGATTTTCAAAGAGACAAGGTCTCTGCTGAAATTTACATATAAATATGTCAAAATATATTTAGTCTTCTTTATACCTTTCTCTTTACATTTCCTGAGTTGCCTGCACTTCGACAATGTGATCAGTCCCTAGGAAATGAAGAACGCAATTGTCTGAAGAGACAGAAGTTGAGGTAGAATAACTGGGAGTTTAGTATACTGGAGCTGACCTAATGCCGTGCAGAGTGTATAATCAGGGGAATACTTTAGTTTGTATAGATTGCAAGTTTTCAGAATAATGGCTTACCTAGGCCAGAGTTCCCAGCCATGCAGACTTTTGTAGATATATGTATATACTTTTACCTATTTGGAAAGACTACAAAAGCATTCTGAAAATGACCTGGAAACTTGCTCTAAAGATCTCAAGAAACCAGGATTCAGAGAAATAGAGGAAATTCAACCAAAGAAACAACCTTGGAGCATCCAGGGATCATTTGGATAACTAGCTCCACGGTCCATCTTATCTGTGCAGTAATAACAAGTTAGCCCATATACTATACACAGATCACCAACTATAAATGATTTAGACTATCATAAAACACACTTAACTCACTGAAGTAGGACTGGACGTGATTTAACCTCACTTGAGTGAGATGGCAGGTGCTTTAAGACTTTCCAGGGTCTCATGATTATCATTGTAAGCACCAATAATTATTGTACCATAGTTGCATAGAAGTGCCAGATGATAAAATATGTTCAGTTGACAGAAGGTAAGGGAAGCTTCATTCTGTGGGGTATCAGAAGTTTAAAAAGAAGAAAAAAGAAGTCAAGGTAGCACTGGCAGACAATTGCATAATAAAAAGTGTTAAAATTCAATGGGGAAAATGTACATAAATTGTGGGTGACTTCCTGATTTCATCACCTTCAAAAGTTGACATTTCCATTTCTCCTTTTTTTCCAGTGACTCCATCTATAAATGGATCTCCAAATGTTAATAAGGACCCGCACAAATGCGGCCACTTCCTTCCCTTGTAAATTACAGCATGGAGCCAGTTTTATGGTGATTATTTCTTTCCATGTTGGTTTTTCCTCCTGGAGTGGGAGTCCCTAGAAGGCAGGGGCTGGGTGGCACATATAGGAAAATCTTTACAGAAAACAGAAGGTACCAAGATGAGCAAGCAGGGTGGAGCTTCTGTATCTTCCACTAGGGGTCAGTAAAACTTTTATGAGAATCCTACGATGGCATCTGGACTTAGAGAAGGGCAATTTCGTTGTCACCCTTTGTCCCTCAGAAAACACCCACAAGAGGCTGTCCTATCACCGAAAAGGAGCTCTTGTTCCAAGTTGTTAAACACACATAAAAAGCACAGCCAAGTATGACTTAGACTAGCATGTCAGTATATCAAACAACAGAATTAACATCAGAGACAAAAGTCTCAGCTTAAATGCACAGTTTTGACAAATACTAAACATTCTATCTTGCCTAATGGGCAATCACCGGCTAACTGTCCAGTGAGTAGGGCTAATTATCTTGACTCTGGTTATCGTAGTGTCTGTATCATAAAAATAAGATTTGAAGTTTCCCTTCTCCTTATGACTTGCTATCCTGGTTTGCAATAGTGCTTATTGTAACATTATACAGGAATGTAGATGGAATTTATTAGAAACAAAGACTTTTGAAAATACGTACTAGATAAATAAACTTGACTCCCTGCCCTACCAACAGCTAGGGTGAGTTGTTAAAAATTGAAATCAGATCATATCATTCCCCTACTTGAAATCCTCCAAGGCCTTCCCACTCCTAAAATCAAATCCAACACATCATCCCGCCTGTGATGCTAGGGCATGCCAAGCTTCCTGCAACTTCTCAGATCTCATCTCCTGCCTCTTGTTCCTGCATTCATTATATTCCTGCCGCAGTTACCTTATCTGCTGATGCTTTAACTCAGCGGTTATCAAACTGGGGGATCTGCAGCATCAGCCTTGCATGGGAAGTTGTTAGAATGCAAATTCTTGGGTCACACCCCAGATCTATTGCATCAGAAATTCTGAGGGTGGGATTCAGCCCATCAGGTGATTCTGTTGCATGCTATAGTTTGAAAAACACTATTCTAATTCTTCAAACTCCTTTCTGCCTTAAGATCTTTGCCCTGGCCAGATCCTGGGCCTGGTACACTCTTCCCAAGGTTCCTTTCTCATCAGTCACATGGCAGCTGCTGAAATGTTAGCTTATCACAGAGACCTACATTGACCATCCTGTTTAAAGTAAGCCTCCTTACTCTTCCTCATCCCAATCTATGCCATTATCCTTTTCATTTCTCCTTAGAACTATCTGAAATGATCTTGCTAATTTATTTACTTATTATTTTATTTTTAAATTTATTTTTGAGATGAAGTGTTGTTCTGTCACCTAGGCCAGAGGTCAGTGGCACGATTTCAACTCAGTACAATCTCCACCTCCACGTTCAAGCGATTCTCCTGCCTCAGCCTTCCAAGTAGCTGGGACTACAGCTGCATGCCAACATGTCCGGTTAATTTTCTTATTTTTAGTAGAGATGAGGTTTCACTATGTTGGCCAGGCTGATCTCAAACTCCTGACCTCAAGTGATCTGCCTGCCTGAGTCTCCCAGAGTGCTGGGGTTACTGACATCAACCACCCAGCCTGGGTTACTTATTATTTTATTATCTATCTCCCCTATTAGAATGCGAGTAAACACCTTGTTTGTCTTTTATACCACGTACCCTGAGTTCCTAGAACATGGGCACATAATAGGTTCTCAATAAAAGTTTCTCAAATTGATGTCTATGAGATTTTTCTGATCAGCCTGCCTTGAAGAAGGAAGATAAATTTAGATTCTGTAAAGGAAGCTGCAGTCTTGTGGTACAGCCCTGGCATGAAGCCAGAAAATGAGGGTCAAATTCTAAATTCTCAACGTTAAAATCAGGTGACCTTAAGTAAGCTATTTAACTAGATTAGTGGGTCTCAACTAGAGGTTATTTTGCTTCTACACATTTGACAGTGTCTGGAGACATTTTTGACACCTCAACTTGGGATGCAGGTAGGAATAGAGGGGCTGTTGGGCACCCAGTGGGTAGAGGCAAGAAATGTGATAAAGCACCCCACAATGCACAGGGCAGCCTCTTCCAACAGAGAGTTATGTGGAGCAAAACATTGACAGTGCCCAGGTTAGAAACCCTGAACCAGGCTGGGTGCAGTAGCTCACGCCTGTAATAGCAGTTTGGGAGGCTGAGGAGGGTGGATCACAAGGTCAGGATGACACCAGCCGGCCAAATGGTGAAACCCCGTCTCTACTAAAAATATAAAAATTAGCTGGGCATGGGTGGCGTGCATCTGTAGTCCCAGCTACTCAGGAGGCCAAGGCAGAAGAATCGCTTGAATCCAGGAGGTGGAGGTTGCAGTGAGCTGAGATCATGCAGCTGTACTCCAGTCTGGGTGACAGAGCCAGACTCCATCTCAGGAAGAAAAGAAAAAAAAAAAAAAAAAGGAAAAAAAGAAACCCCGAACCAGAGTCTTACTATTTTTAAAACAGGGATAATATTCTTTTTCTACTTCACATGGTTCCAGTGATACTCATGCAAAGATTGTTCTGTGTTTTGTAAATGACAAAAGACTTCAGATGGATACCTCCTGGTATAGCATATCTGCTCAATGAATATTTGTTCAAAGACTATGTGAATGAATTGCCAGGAGCCCCCTCCTAGAATTGAGTTTCAGTTTCCTCATTTGTGACAACTGCTAAGGAGAATACCTGCATCTTAGGAACCTTGCAAGGATCAAAGAGATAAAGCTGGTAAAGCACCTGGTGCACACTTTGACACATACATGGTTGAATTTCCCTTGTTTTGCTCTTGGTTAGCTTCCTGCTTGGCTATCTTGGGAGGCCTGCTGGGGCCTCCTACTTCTACTTGTTTTTCTTCCACTTGTTTGCTTCCTTCTCAGTGGAGTTCCATCTTCCTCTTTCCCAAGCTCTTCCCCTCCTGGGGCCACATGGTCTGCACAGGGCCTCCTTGACTATTTCAACTGGAAAGATATCACCACATCTTAGCCTGCATTTTTTTGGATGAAGCTCTCAAGTCCTAGCATTCAGAAACAATGCTGCAGGCTTCCTCAGATTCTTGGCAGAGAAGGAAGTAGAAACTAGGCTCTTGTTTTCTGGCTGGGAATCTCTAGATTCATCATTACGACTCCATGATGCCCCAGCTTTTTTTGACCTGACTGTCTTTTCCTACTTCCTATACCCAATCAGTAAAAACCCTGCAGAGTTCCCTGTTCTCTCTAGAAACTGGAAATGCTTACTGCTAGAGGTTCCATCAGACATCACCAAAAGCTCACAATGTGCCCACATCAAATACAAAGTTTGTATACATTTATGAAGATTGAGTTGCCTTGCCTGTTAACCTAGGGTTACATGTTAGGGAATTTAAGCTTCTGCTAATTCCAATATTTCAGCTTGTTTTCATATTTTAGAGCCAATCAATTATTTTTTATAGCAAATAGAATTGTAAACCATAGATATACATATGCTCCTGCAGTGCTTTCTACATTAAAAAGAAAAATAGACTCCTTTGCTTTGCTGCCATCAGCTACTTTTCCGTTTTCCCTTTTTCTGTTGGTTTATAATAGTCAATCGCCATTCCAGAATCTGCAAAGAATCTGGAAACCAATGTGTGTGGGCGATATTCCATGTATTTAATGCGGTCAACTTGCAAACATCGTCTCATCTCATGTACTTGGGTCCGCATTTGTCCAGGAGTATGATGATCAAATCTTGCACCTGCCATGTACATTGAGGACTGCAAAATTTTTCTCGTATTAGTTTGTTCTCATTTGATTCTTACAGTAACTCACACGCTTACAGTAACTTACATGCTTATAGCTAGGCATGCTATATATTACAGTTACTCTTGGTTTTACCAATGAGAAACGAAAGCTTAGGGAAGTGAATTGACTTACTCAAGGTTATAGAGCAAGTGATGGGGTCAAGGCAAAAGCCTACATTTTCTGGAGTCTTTTGTGCCACACATAGCCCTCGGGGAAAAAGTACACCTGGAAAAGGAAACTAAGCAAGGCTTGAATGCTTGGGCTACTTTAGCTGTGTGTGTGTGTGTGTCTGTGCATGTGTATGATAGAACTCTAGCCTTGAATATTCTCTTATTTGCCCTACAGACAACAGGATCAGATTAATTAATTAGTTCCACAGTGTTTATTTCCGTACAGACACTATTGTAACTGCTGAGGATGTAACACTGAACAAAATGACCAAGTCCTTGCGCCATGGAACTCACATTCTAGATGCAATAGATAAATAATAAATGAACAAGCCAATATAAAGAATGTCAGGTGCTGATTGGTGCTAAGAAGAAAAAGAGGGTGAGGGGATGGGAAAATGGGAGGGTTGCTGCTGTTTTATTTAGGGTGGTTAAAGAAGCCTTAAAGAAGGCAGCATATGAGGAGAGACTTGAAGGAAGTGAGGGAGGGTGCTAGGTGGACTGGGATGCAGATGGGCAGAGACAAGTGTGTGCAAGGGCCCTGAGGCAGGGACATGGTTGCCATGCATGAGAAATAACAAGGTCACCAGCCTGGCTGGAGCACAGTGAGTAGGTCAGGAGGGAGGGAGAGAGATGTGGGCAGGAAATGGGGTGAGACGATGTGGTGAGGGGAGGTGGGGGACAATTAAGAAAAATCCTGCAGGACCTTGTAGGTAATTGAAAAGGCTTTATCCCTTAGTAGAGAGACTGAGATCCCTTGAGGGCTTTGACCAGAGGAGTTACATGATTTGAAACACATCAGTGTGTTTTGTTTTTGTTTTTGTTTTTGAGATGGAGTCTTGCTCTGTCGCCCACGCTGGAGTGCAGTGGCGCGATCTCAGCTCACTGCAACTTCCGCCTCCCAGGTTCAACGATTGTCCTGCATCAGCCTCCCAAGTAACTGGGACTACAGGTGCGTGCCACCACGCCGGCTAAGTTTTGTATTTTTAGTAGAGATGGGTTTCACTGTGTTGGCCAGGCTGGTCTCGAACTCCTGACCTCAGGTGATCCACCTGTGTAGGCCTCCCAAAGTGCTGGGATTACAAGCATAAGCTACCATGCCTGGCTCAAACACATCATTGTTAAAAAATTTACAAAGGACCAACTTGCCCTCTGTTAAGATAATCCTGGTTAGTAATATTTCCACTTCAAACCACAGACTGAGTCTTGCTTTGAGGACTACCAAGGGGCCTTTAAAAAAAAAGAAAAATTTTCTCAGATTTACTGGGACGTGAATGACAAATAAAAATTGCATATACATTTACGATGTACAACATGATTTGATGTATGTATACATTGCAAAATGATTGCTATTATCAAGCTAATTAACCCATCTGTCATGATACATAGTTATCATTGTGTGTGTGTGTATGTATGTGTGTATGTGTGTGGTGAGAGATCCACTTAAGATCTACTGTCTTAGCAAATTCCAAGTATACCATATAGCATTATTAACCAGTCACTATGCTGTAGGTTAGATTCCCAGAACTTTCTCATCTTACAACTGAATGTTTTATATTCTTTGACTAACATATACCGATTGCTCCAAGCTCTCAGACCATGGCAACCACTATTATACTCTCTGCTTCTGTGAATTTGACTTTTTTAGGTTCCACATGTAGGTCAGATCCACGCAGAAGTGCAGTATTTGCCTTTCTGTATCTGGCTATCTGGCTTCTTTCACTCAGCATGAGGTGGTTCATCCCTGTTGTCTCAAACGGTAGGATTTCCTGCTACTTGTGGCTGAATAATATTCCATTGTATGTATATACCATATTTTCTTTATTCATTCATCAATTAACAGACATTTAGGTTGTTGCCATGTATTGATTATTGCGAATAACACTGTAGTGAACATGAGAGTGCAGCCATCTCTTTCACATGTTGATTTCATTTCCTTCTGATATATACCCAGAAGTAAGATTGCTGGATGATATGGTAATTATGCTTTTAAGTTTTTGAGAATTTCCCTATCATTTTCTACAATGGCCATATGAATTTACCGTCCCACCAACAGTGTGCAAGCGTTCTCTTTTCTTCATATTGCCCCAAACATTTGTTATCTTTTGTCTTTCTGGTAATAGCCACTCTAATAGGTGTGAGGTGATATCTCACCGTGGTTTTAATTTGCATTTCCCTGATGATTAACATTGTTGAATACCTTTTCGTATACCCATTGGCCGTTTGAATGTCTTTTTTGAAAAATGTCTGTTTAGGTCCTTTGTCCATTTTAAAGTTTTTGTTTTGTTTTTTTTGATATTCAGTTGTGTGAGTTCCTTGTATATTTTGGATATTAACCCCATATCAGATGTTTGGTTTGCAAATATTTTCTTTCCTTTTGTTGGCTGCCTTTTCATTTGTTGATTGTTTCCTTTACTAACTGTGCAGAAGATTGTTAGTTTGATGTATTCCACTTGTTTATTTTTGCTTTTGTTGTTTGTACTTATGAGATCTTTCTTTTCATGTGTGTACGAGTGCTATGGTGAAGCTAAATTTTAGTAAGTCATTCATTCATTCATTTGAATCAGTGATTGAGCTTCACCTAAGTGCCAGGAACTGCTCCTGGCATTTGGGATAAAGGAGTGAATAGGACGAACAGTTCTGCTTGCAGGAGCTTCCTCCCAGGTTCAAGTGATTGTTGAACTGTTTCTTCCTTACCATGAAGAAACAGTTAACAAGCAAATAAATAGAAGATATTTCAGCTGATGAGAAGGGTTAGGAAAAGACAAAACAGAGGAGATGAAATGATGATGCCATTAGAGAGGCTACTTTTAAGATTCTAGTTGGATTTTGAAATGTGGAACTTAGGCTAATAGTGTTACACATGTAGATCAATTTACAGTTTAAAAATTGAGGCCAGGCACAGTGGCACATGCCTGTAATCCCAGCACTCTGGGAGGCCGAGGTGGGCAGATCACTTGAGGTTAGTAGTTCGAGATCAGCCTGGCCAACAACATGGCAAAACCCCGTCTCTACTAAAAATACAAAAATTAGCCGGGCATGGTGGTGGGTGCCTGTAATCCCAGCAACTCAGGAGGCCGAAGTGGGATAATCACTTGAACCTGGGAGGTGGAGGGTGTAGTATAAGCTGAGACCACACCACTGCATTCCAGCCTGGGTGACAGAGCAAGAGTCTGCTAAAAAAAAAAAAAAAAGCTGGCAAGAAAGTTATTATTATCCTGACTTTTCAAATGAGGTCCACTAAAATTAAGCGACATGCCCAAGGCACTAGTAAGTGGCAGACCTGGGGGCTGAACCCAAGTTTTCTCTAATTTTCAGTACCAAAGATTTTCTTACAGTATGCAATACTTTGGGAAGTACAGGTAGAGATGGGTAACACTGGGGCCTGGGATAAGGAAATTAGCCATAATTAGGCAAGAAAGGTATGAAGCACATGCCAAAACATAAACAGAACACAAAAGTGCAAGAAGGGTAGCTAGCTCCCCCTAAGGTCATGCAAAACAACCGGTCAGACATAGAGGGACTGGACAAGGTGGCTCACACTGTAATCCTGGCACTTTGAGAGGCCAAGGCAGGCAGATCACTTGAGATCAGGAGTTCGAGACCAGTCTGGCCAACACTGCAAAACCCTGTCTCTACAAAAAATTAGCCCAGTGATGGTGGTGTACACCTGTAATCCCAGCTACTCGGGAGGCTAAGAGAGGAGAATCGCTGGAACTCGGGAGGCGGAGGTTGTAGTAGGCTGAGAGCCCGCCACCAAGGCACTCCAGCCTGGGTGACAGAGTCAGACTCCGTCTTAAAAAAAAAAAAAAAGATATAAAGGAACTCTAGTCCCACAGCCCCACTTCCACCGGGCTGAGATAATCAGAAGAGAAGGCCTCCTGCCTTGAACGGTTGTTCTTAGTAACTTGGGCTGGGGGAAGCTTTGGATCACATGTGGTTTCAATCACTACCTTTATCTGCATCATCGTCACTGTATTTGGAAGATGACTGAATCCTCATTTCTGTCCCAGGCCTCTCTACATTGTGCAGGGGGTACAAGTCAAATCTGGAAAAGCTGTCTCATCCTTGGCAGGTCAGCAATAGGGAGAGGCTTCAGGAATGTACAGTAATGTCCCACCCACGCCCCTTCCCCGCTTTATTAAAACAAATCTGAAACAACAGAGGTCTAAAACTTTCCACTGTATCATTTCACATTGCCGTGTTATAACCCTGCCCTTCATCCACACCCCGCTGGGGTTTTTGCAGCCTAAGGGAAGCCGGGAAATGTCTGCTTCTAGCCTCAGTCACTCCCATAATAAGCAATCACTAAACAGCGGGCTGCCCTAGGCAACTGTCCAGCTTGCCCTAACCCTGAGACTTCAGCTAGGCCAGACGGTGGGAGGTGTTCTCTGTAAAGCAGTATTCAGGCTCTGAGGCCAGGGAGTTTGGCTTTGACCAGAGATTCGGTTTAGGAATTTAGCACATCTTTGTGGACCTGGAGGATCTTTAGCCGGACTGCTGGTCAGTTACCTGAGTTATCCAATGAAGTTCTTCCACTGGGGGTGGCAGGAGCTTGGGGTCAAGGAGTTGGGAGGTTAATGAAGGAAGGTCCAACCATTTGACACTTACTGTAAATAAGGTCACTTTCCTGATATGTTTCCCTTCTATAGCTGGGACAGTTTGCAATTCTACCAGTCATCCTTCCTTCCACCACCACCACCACTGCCACCACCAAGAGAATAACATTGCTCTGAGGACTGGGGCAAGCTTGTTAACTGATTTCTCTGCAGCCATTAGAAAATCTTTTTTCTCTGATTGGATCTGTTGGAAGCTTTCTTCGCAATAGACAGAGGGGGTTCAGGCAAGGCTGCCTAAGTAGATAATGAGGATTTAGGATAGCTGTCTTATACTCCTAGCACACAGAGGCAGGCACGAAGAATTGCAACAATTCCTCTTGATTGTAATAATTCCTCTTTATTGTTGGGGACTGGGGTGTCTCCTTGGTTTAAGAAAAAGATGTGCTTTGTAAGGGAGGAGTAAGGGGAGACTGCTTTAATGCTTAGCAGAAAACTGAAACACTGGGTCTCGGAGAGTGGAAGGAGGGTTGGGAGAGGCAGCTTTCGGATCGGCAGTCGCTTTCTACCAAGTCTTTCTTTCCTCCCTGCTTCGCACTTTCAAAGCATCCTTCTCTAGGCGTTCCGGCAGGCAGCCCAGGAGACCGGATTCTCCAAGGCGCCCGGGGCCGCGAAGCACGGGGCCCCCGCCGGTTCCTCCTTCCCGGGCCGCCTCGTTTCCGCAGGCGCCTCCGGTCCCCGGCACGGCGCAGACCGACATCCTGGCCTGGGCGCGCCGCGGGGCCACGGGACTCGCCCCGGGCCGCCCCGCGCTCCACCAGCCCGCCCGCCAGCCGCTCGCAGCCCGGTAAGCCCCGGCTCCCCGCGTCCCCCGCGTCCCCCGCGCCCCCGACGCCGCGCCGGCGCCTCAGCCCGCGGCCGGGGGTTATGAATGGGCGCAGCGGAAGCACCGCCCCCCCCGGACGTGACGCTCGGCCAATGGCAGCGCGGGCTGCGTGGATGGATGAGGTCAGCGCTGTCGTGTCGGGAATGGAATGTGTAAGTGTAACATTCAGAACCGGGTAACATTCGGCGACCGAACGCGGCGGTCGGCAGCGATCGCGCGGGGGCCTGCGAAGCGCCGCTCGGGGCCGGCACTGCCCGCGGGGAGGAGGCGCCGCCGCCGCCGCCACCCAGCGCTGCCGCAGCCGCTGCCGCCTCCAGCCCGGGCCGCCGCGCGCCCCGGGGGCCGGCCCCGCGAGCGCAGGAGTAAACACCGCCGGAGTCTTGGAGCCGCTGCAGAAGGGAATAAAGAGAGATGCAGGGATTTGTGAGGTTACGGCGCCCCAGCTGCAGGATGCACTAGCCGGCTGAACCCGGGATCGGCCGACTCGTGGGAACCGGAGTGCTCTGCACGGAGTGGTGGATGAGTTGAAGTTGCCTTCCCGGGGCTCGTTTTCCACGCTGCCGAGAGGAATCCGAGAGGCAAGGCAATCACTTCGCCTTGCCATTGATTGGGTATCGGGAGCTTTTTTTTTTTTTTTCCTCCCCTCTCTCTTTCTTTTCCTCCGTCTTGTTGCATGCAAGAAAATTACAGTCCGCTGCTCGCCCGCCCTGGGTGCGAAATATTCAGCCCCGCTCTCTCCCGTGCATCGTGCAACCCGAAGATGAAAGACCGAAGGGGAGAAAGTTAAAGAAATCGCCCACATGCGCTGGATCAGTCCACGGCTTGGGGAAAGGCATCCAGAGAAGGTGGGAGCGGAGAGTTTGAAGTCTTTACAGGCGGGAAGATGGCGGACTGGAGCTGAAAGTGTTGATTGGGAAACTTGGGTGATTCTTGTGTTTATTTACAATCCTCTTGACCCAGGCAGGACACATGCAGGCCAAAAAACGCTATTTCATCCTGCTCTCAGCTGGCTCTTGTCTCGCCCTTTTGTTTTATTTCGGAGGCTTGCAGTTTAGGGCATCGAGGAGCCACAGCCGGAGAGAGGAGCACAGCAGTCGGAATGGCTTGCACCACCCCAGTCCGGATCGTTTCTGGCCCCGCTTCCCGGACGCTCTGCGCCCCTTCGTTCCTTGGGATCAATTGGAAAACGAGGATTCCAGCGTGCACATTTCCCCCCGGCAGAAGCGAGATGCCAACTCGAGCATCTACAAAGGCAAGAAGTGCCGCATGGAGTCCTGCTTCGATTTCGCCCTTTGCAAGAAAAACGGCTTCAAAGTCTACGTATACCCGCAGCAAAAAGGGGAGAAAATCGCCGAAAGTTACCAAAACATTCTAGCGGCCATCGAGGGCTCCAGGTTCTATACCTCGGACCCCAGCCAGGCGTGCCTCTTTGTCCTGAGTCTGGATACTTTAGACAGAGACCAGTTGTCACCTCAGTATGTGCACAATTTGAGATCCAAAGTGCAGAGTCTCCACTTGTGGAACAATGGTAGGAATCATTTAATTTTTAATTTATATTCCGGCACTTGGCCTGACTACACTGAGGACGTGGGGTTTGACATCGGCCAGGCGATGCTGGCCAAAGCCAGCATCAGTACCGAAAACTTCCGACCCAACTTTGATGTTTCTATTCCCCTCTTTTCTAAGGATCACCCCAGGACAGGAGGGGAGAGGGGGTTTTTGAAGTTCAACACTATCCCTCCTCTCAGGAAGTACATGCTGGTATTCAAGGGGAAGAGGTACCTGACAGGGATAGGGTCAGACACCAGGAATGCCTTATATCACGTCCATAACGGGGAGGACGTTGTGCTCCTCACCACCTGCAAGCATGGCAAAGACTGGCAAAAGCACAAGGATTCTCGCTGTGACAGAGACAACACCGAGTATGAAAAGTAAGTGTCTGGGCTGGCGTGTCTTTGCGAGTCAGCCTTGGGCCCTGCCTGCCTTGGTCCAGGTGTGAAGTTGGGGGATGGGGTGGGGGCGGATGAGCCCTCAGTCCTCTTCTCACTTTGAGCCTGGAATTGAGCAAATCCGGTTCAGGTGTGCAGCTAGAGGCTGGGAGAGTTGGAGCTCCTCGGGCAAACTGAAAAGCCTGGAGCACCTTCCCGAGCCAAGTAGATGACAGTGTCTCCCTCTTGCTTAGAAAACCTTCAGGGCGGAGTGTCTCCTGCTAAAAGTAGGGTTTTGATCCAAGTTTAGTAACTGCATTTCAGGCATGGGTATTGGAGGGTGTTTCTGAGGGTGTTTAGAGACCCAAAGAGGCTGTGATCTACCAAAAGTCCAGAGACTTTCCACCAAGAGTGATGCTTTTGTTTGCTTTTCTGGTGAGTGGGGGTACCTACTATCCCAGGAGTTTTCACAACTTCACATTTTCTGTAAGCCTGTAATTCATGTTAGCTGTGGAAGTGTTTAAATTTTATCTAACTGTGTGGCCCTTTCCTCTCTCCCCCATGGCATTGACTTTTATAAAGGGAGACTGTAAACTTGTTGGGTCTGTGGCTTTGCATGCATGCATGCACTCATTCATTCATTCATTCATTCATTTATTCATTCATTCATTTCTGTACATGTCCTGTCTCTTTCCTAGGAGAAACTGTTTTTTAATCTGGGCCTCAGTCCCACTGTCTGAACTCCAGTTGCTAATTTAGATTTCCCATTCTCTTTTGTCTTCATCTATTTGCATATAAATTGTAGACTGTTACTCTTTGAATGGGTGTGAGATGCCTCCTTACCCTCTGTAGTGAGGCAAGTTTTGTCCAGTTGCTAAGTGACTGAGTTGGTTACTTTGTAGCCCTTTTCACTCTTCCTTTTTCCTTCCCAGTGACAGTAACTGACACGGGATTTGGAGTCAAAGCTAGATTCCACAAATCTGCTTTACCCTGAGCTTGGTGGACCAGTTGCCTAGTAGGTGGGGTTGCCGCCCAGACTCTCACTTATATCGGAGTGTGGAAGAGTTAGTGAGTTCCTACAGTGCATTTCCACGTTACGCCAGTTAAAAGCCAGAGCAGCCTTGTGCTACCCAGGGAAGGAAGGGGAACCTCTCAGCTGAGTACAAGAGGAACTGGCAGAGGCTGGCAGATTTTGCAATTGATTCATGAAATGCAGAATAGGGGAAAGGCTTCACAAACCTGATTGGAACAGGAAGGGGTATGGTGGGAAACTGGCCTTGAAATGAAAGGTTTGATTGTTGTCTGTGCATTTTCTCAGACACTAGGGCCTCTATAGGAGTGATTGGAAGGGAAATTAAAGTCCTCCAAGACTTGATCATAGAGAGTGAAGGAGAAAGTATCAGGCACTCAGATTCTGCTTTCAACCCCGGATACCTTTTGCTTTTCAGGCATAAGAAAAGCCGGAGACTAGGATCAATTATGAATCCATAGTTTCCTCTCATTCAGGGGCAGTTATGTGTGAATGTGCAGTTGCAATGGATTACGATTTTCTCATAAAAGACATCTAAACTATGGTTAGTAATGAACTGCTTTGTTTATACGACATTTACATTGACCTATTTCTGTGGGTGCTTGTAAGAAAAAAATGCTTATTGCCTTTCAGGAATTTCTTTGTCTGGTTTATGGTGGAGTAACTCGAGATGAAGTCTAACCTTTCTGGGTCTTCTAAAGCAGTCTCACAGAATGCTGTGGAAGGATCACTATATTCTTCATCCTTTTAAAGGGGCTAAAGCTGAGATTTCAGCTAAGGAAATTTGAATTATACATTTATTTGGAAAATACCCTCCATCCAAGGGAACAATATTTCTTATCCTTATATTCCCAAAATAAAGTTTCTACATTTTCTGTGGAATGGAAACGTTTTCTAGAGATCAGCAATGAAGGAAGGGAGGGGTTGGTTTCTTTAAAACTTTAGTGTTTACCAATTAAATTTAACTAATTTTTTACCTCTTTGTGATCGGGCCAAGAAATATGACACCCACACTTTGGTTTATGTTTAAAGGCCACAAGGGGTCAAGACCTCAAGACTGGGTCTGATCAGAAAAGTGGTGTTTAGTAGAGAAGCAAGTTTGTTCTGTCTCCCAAGCAGGGATCTCTTTAGGAGGGACACCTCTGGATTTTCATTGTGTTCCCCTTTTGCATACCTTGCAGCCCTAAACTTGCATGACAGCCCGGGATGGTGCTGCAAAAGGTTTACATTCACTCACCTGGCACACCTGAGTTTTGACTCATTTCTCTCAGTGTGTTAGCAGAATTATTTGTCTTTGAGAAATGGTGCTTACAAACTTTATTGCCTTTTATTATTGCCTTTATAACACATGAAGATGAAGCAAGAACTCTTAAATTTGGAGATATGCTAGCAGAGCAAGCAACGTGTGTTGTGCTCTGGTGGAAGAGCAACTACTGTGCTACTTATATTGATGCTTTCTGGAAGATAGCCTTAGATAATGTGAGATGTGGAACTACTCAAGTCAAGTCTCTCTAGCCAGTCTCTCTAGCCCCTTAGGAGGAAGCTATATTAAAGTTAGGTCTGTAGATGTGATCTATGTAAGTTTGGCTTCTCATATTGACTCATGGTGTGACTTCTGATTAGTCACCTTGAGCATTAGTTTGGGTTTTGTCGAATGGGTTTTAGACTGCTTCAGGGGTTCTCTAAGCACTTAACTGGTAATAGCTTATAAAAACACAATCAATTTTCATCTAATTTATTAGCAAGTGTATGTGGGGAAAAAAAAAAGCTTTAATTTAATTTGCTCCCTCAAGCAATCACCTGTAAGTTTCCTCTGGAGCACACTTTATGGGGTCTGATGATTATATCAAAAATTTATGGTATCATGATAAAGTTAGGATACTCTAGAGTATATACAAATGTATCAGCTAAACAAATTGTTGCTTTTGGTGAAAGAGAACATTATGTGTCAGTAAAGATTTAGTGCTAAATGAGCAAGGACTTCTGTCTCACCTGTGCCTTTGTGAAAATTAGACATTGATTACAAAGGTATGGGAGAGCTACATGGAATGAAGGAAAATGACATTTCTAATAGGAAATAAATTTCATTTGTCATTTTTTTGACCCAGACATCCAGGAATGTATTAAAATATCAATTTTTATGATACCCGTATTTTTTAATCAGTTATATATTTTAATGCACATGGATGATGCCAGCTAAAATCACTGCAGTAATTAGATGATTTGTAATGATGCTTTAGAGAAATTCTATTTTATGTTCTTTCAGCTGCTTATGCATCCTCACAGAATTACTGTATTTTACATAAGCTTCATAGTTCATGTCCCTACAAAGGGCATTATTGTGAAACTTTAGGTTCAGGTATTTGAAATAGAAGAAAGAGAGGGAAAGAAGAGGTGGCTTCTATCTTCAGCCCCCTTTAAAAGGAAAGCAAGAGTGAATATTTAAAGCTTTTCTGGGAACAGGGAAGATAGTGTGCAAATCTTTTTGATATTTTCCTTTTTCTTGTTTGCTAATGCTGTACCTCACAATTCTGGTGTCTTTAAGGGTCTTGAAGGTAAGAGATCATTTGGCTTCCAACATCCTGATTTTTACAGATGTAGAAACTGAGGGACAGAATGTTTCAGGGATTTGCTTAAGGCCAGAAAACTGTTTAGTGACAAGGGTAGCACTAGAATGCAGGCCCCCTGAATTTTGCCTTTCATTTCTACTCTCAGGCACCCTTGAAAATTCACCAGCCACGAGGAGATTCTCATTAATGATGTTTACTATGGGATTTCTCGTAGAATTCTTCAGTAATCTGATGAAAACTTGGAGGACACTTTTGTAAAAATAAATGATAAGTAAATAAATAAAAGCATATTCACAATTTGTCATATGGTTTCAGGGGCTGACGCACACCTCCTGCTGAGGGCATCCTCAGACTTACAAATACTTGCTCTGGGAGTTTACATTTTGCCTGTTTGCTTAGTTGGGTAGGTCTGTGGAGCTGTTTAGTCTAGGAGTTTTTTGAACCTTTCAATTTGGCCCTAAGGGGTTTAGAGAATAGGCTGTGCATTGACTGAACAATAAGTTGAATTCTGTGCACTTGTAGCAAAAAGAAACTATGCACAGGACAAGTCATAATGCTAAATGCTTTTATCTTTTCTTCCTCATTATCTCAAACTGTGTTAGCAGACACCTTGATCAAGTTCCTGATCCAGCAGTGAACCTTAGATGAATGTTTTCCTTCTCCAAAATGACAGGTGGGAATTGAGATTCTCAGGTTTTAAATGTAAAATATTAGCGCCTTTCTCCCCACAGTTGTACAAAAGCATTTCTAAAATAAACCAAATTAACAAAGTTAAAAAATAAGGTAGGGCCAGCCCTGCGGAAAATTATGAAGTTGGCTTGTTTGTCTTCTGACACTGAGATGCTGGTTCTCTCCTCTCTTTCCTTTCTCGCCTTTTTCTAAACCTGCTTTCTGGAGCGCACCTGAGAGCCTCAATCACAAGGAATCCCTGAATAAGGGTTGGAGTGTTAATTGCTACTTTTAGGGACGTTTGTATTATTACTGGATTCAGCCTAACAAATGAGGGTTTCCAGTGGAGCCTGTGACCTGAGCTACGGGCCTTCAGGAGTTTACGCTACAAAAAAATGGCTTGCTACTAAGGTTTGGGCAGGTCCTGCCAATAGGAGGCCACCTTTGGTCCCCCTGACTGTGACAGCAGCTTTGGATGGCAAAAGGGGTGATGCCACACCTGCAGGTGGTGATGGTTCATACTGTCAGAAGGCCTGGCGATCTGCCTTCCCAGAACACAGTGCTGGAAATACCTGCCAATAGGGACCTTTAATATGCCAATGTCTCAGCAGAAGTTGTGCTTGGTAGGGCCTGGCCGCCTTGCTCACAACTGTCTTCAAAGTGTCTTCTCAGGCTGTGTTGCCGGTGTGTAAACGGAGGAAAAAGGTGGTAAGGTGGCTGGCCTGAGGCTATGC